AGCCCGGTACCTCTACACAGTGAGGTCGATGCACTCGACCACCGGGCCGGCTTGATCGAGGTCGTAACTGTCATTTGCTCATCTTTGTACATGCGGACTGAATGTTATAATACTGTCAGCCTGGAAATGATATCCATTTAAGAAATAAAGCTTTGGGGGGGAGGAAAAAAGCGATTTCTTTTTTTTTTTTTTTTGCTTGGAAATGATATCCATTTAAGAAATAAAGCTTTGGGGAGGAGGGAAAAAGCGATTTCTCTTTTTTTGCTCTATTATTGTTGCCTTGTGATACAAAAAAAATGTATAGTGTGTTTCTAATGTGAAAAAATAGCACAATGTAATATTTTACTTTCTTGTGAAGTGAGTTGAGTTCACCACCATAAGGTGCTTAAATTTCCTGAAAACTTGGCCAAACAACGGCTTGTACCTCAAAAACTCATCAACGGGGCGCTCATATGGCACCGCTGTATTCAAAGAACTTTAATCCAAACATGTAAATCCTTCCACCTTTTAAACGGCAGCTGAGGCAAACAAGTCACTGCCAATCCCCCAAACAATCATGAAATGATCATTTAAATCACAACATATCACAATGTGTACCGATGGAATAAAAGAAGCAAAAACAGGAGAGAACATGTATTCAACTTTCCAGCGCACTTGTAACATGACTTAGTGCATTGAAAAAAGAGATGTTGCAGTTTTCAAATGACAATTTATATTCAAACGACGCGTTCCTACTGCATCTGTATCGCAAGCCACAGCTATCAAAATATATAATTCAGAATCCTCCGCAAAAGGTATGTGTCAGAAGTGGGATTCGAACCCACGCCTCCATTCGGAGACCAGAATACCCGTTTGACGGAAGGAGGTGCATCCTTGAGTCTGGCGCCTTAGACCACTCGGCCATCCTGACACTGACAGCAAGTACGATCATTATTGTCATTTTATACTTTAATCAACCGAGGTAGGAAAATCACCCCAGACAAATATAGCATTCGTTCATGTTGTTAATGCCCAGAAGCGTACATTTTTCTTACTGCATTCGTCTTTTTTGCACATGTGTCACGAGAAGTCAACGACACCGACTGCGCATGCTCACATTAACCATAGGTCACTTCCGTCGCAAAAAAAAAAAAAAAAAAAAACCCGACCTACTTCATTTCCTACGTTCAAGGGTATCTGCAAGTCTCATCATGTACAGATTCGCGAAAGCCGCCGTCAACATCAGCGGTAAGACTAAGACGACCTGGCATGATCAAATACATGTTTATTGGCTTTCAAGAAATCGTGCTAGCTATTAAGCGTCTGTGATTCCTTAAACGCGTCTCCGGCGGGTCACCCTGGCCAGCGTGCTAACATGCAAGCTAATGCTAACAGCTCCGGTTTGCCATGTCTTTCAGCATTCATCGTTAATACAGGTTTTAAGAGCTTTAAAATTGGAGTCAGATTGACAAATTGGCTGAATTCACACTGCTCGACACGTTTGTTGTTGTTGTTGTTGCTGCTGCTTGCTACTGTGGAGTGGGAATTTAATCGCAAAGTTGCAGTCGTGTGTATGTCGGAAAGGCGCTGTAGTACAACATAGTTGAAAAGTCCTAAACTGAGGAACCGTGTGTTAAAGTGTCCGTTCTCTTTGAAATAAATCATAAATACTAATAAAAATTATGTAAATGTGATCGTTTCACAATACAAATGCAATATTTTTGCTTCTTGAAGATGTACAGCATGCCTCACAATTCCTAGGTTCTGTGTTCAAATCTCACTTTACTTTTGGTGAAAACTGACTTTTTTTTTTTTTGGGGCTCCTTGTCCAAGAACCTTATAGGGTGAACAAAGTCAGCTGGGATAGGCTCACCATTCAACTCTAATAGATGGTGTAGTTTGAAAATGGAAGAGTGATGTGTGTCGACATACATTGTCCCAATCTTTTTGTTTGCGTTATGATTTGCGGCATGCATGCTATTAACTCTACAATCACATGTTGTGGCTTTCACAGCTTGAGTTCAAAAGGCCATGCAGATTGCAATCCAGCAAGACAAAGCTGTCTGTTCAAAGATGACAAATGCTGTATTACTCTCATCTTCCAGGTCAAGCTGCACGCCAAATGAGGCACGGGTCCAGTGCCCCACAGGACTTCCACTCTAAGTATGGCACCAGTGTGTTGGTTGGCGGGTTTGTCTTCTGCACAGCAGTGTGGTCATACGTAAGTGGACTTTGTCTGTTATTAGGGATTAGCAAGGTGGCAAGAGTCCCCCAAAATGACTCTGCTGCCACGCTCGTTCTAGCTGGAATGGCAACTTCACCTGCGGTACAACGCACCAATACTTCTGAAATACTTCACCAATATTTCTGAAAAACACTATCACTTCTGTCTTATTTTCATTGAAATCCAAGAAATTTAGTGCCATCCAGGTTTTGATTTCCTCCAGTCATGATAAAAGTATCGTGAGAGCACGCTTTTTTTCCTTTTTCTTACAGGTGGTGACTCAGACGGGAATCACTTGGAATCTGTCCCCTGTTGGGAAGGTGATGCCCAAACCATGGAGGGAGGCTGATGAATAATGCAAGAAAACATAAAAAGCCGCCATGGTTGAGGTCCAAACAAAAATCTTGCGACTGTACAGATGAACAGTAAAGTTTGTTTCAATATTGTCCAAATAAATTAAATGTGATTCTAGATTTGTGTGTGTTTTTTGTAATTTGTGTGCTTTATGCATAGAAAATATAATTCACACCAATGCGTTTCAGTAATAATAATTTGAGCAAGAATTTTAATTTTTATTTGTGATTTTTTTTAAGATTGTTTGATAATGTTAAAGTAATAAGAACGTTTGCTCGTGAATATAGAAAGTCTCATTTTAAAACTGTGTTTTGTTACTTGGTTTTCTCTATTGTGCCCACAA